CCCCAAAACCCCAAAACCCCTTCAATAAAGATTTTGAAATATATTGATAAATAATTAAATTAGGGTTAAAATGAATTCAAGTTAAATAAAATCATAGAAAATAGGGTTATTATCCTAATCCTTAAAGAAAAATGATGAAAATTTTATTGTTGATAACAAAAATTAATAATCCTATCTAACACAGGATGGAGTCAATAACTCCGTGTCGTAGATTCAGTTATTTACTAATAATTATTAGAGTAACAGCTCAAGCTAAGCATAAATCTAAAGAGAAATAACTTAAACTTAATCAAATAGTTAAATAACGCCTAATTAAAATAAATATGTTCAAAATAGTGTCTCCTCAATAAAACTACATAAAATTCAAAACCTTTTAAAAAGAAGGCAATCGTAGTCAAGGAATTTAATCTAAAATTAAAGTTAACTTAGTTACTACGATAATTCAGATGAAGCAACAACAATGATTGCTTCAACAAGAAGACTTAATCATTCCGAGTTAAGGGATCTGTCTGGAAGATAAGCAAGTAGCTCTTTGATAATATAAAGTGATGTATCTCCAATTAAATCAATTAATGGAAAGGATTATCTCCTACCCGAAATAGGATTGAATAAATTTAGAGATTAGTAACTCAATCCAGAATCTGAACTAAATCCATTTAAAGTTTCTAAAAATCCAGAAAAACTTTTGGCATTAAATGAAAGAGAAAGAGAAAAGAGCAGGTTATTGATATTGAAAAAGAAACTTCAATAAGATGAAAGTTGAGCTGTAATTAACAATAGTTATATGGGTAATATCAGTATGGATTAAAGCTCCTCGTATTTGGATAATCATGATTTATCTCAAATAAGCTTATCCACAGTTAAACACTCAAATAAGCAGAATCAAAGATAATATAGTAATTCAAATTTTGGCTATTTAGAAAATAAAAAAGATAGATCAGGAATCATAAGATTCATTAATGAATTTGCAAGAGCTAATAGTAGATCTATTTTAGATACTAAATGATCTGTTAGTGAAATGAGAGGTGGTGGAAGGAAAATTAATTTGAGCTTCATTGAGAAACCACAAGAAATTGCAAAAGTTAATATAATGCAGGATTCAAATGCATTTGAGAAGTTCAAAGAGGAAGAATTTTTAAGAGAAAAAGAAAAGTAAATGAATGAGCTAGTATTGAAAAACATAAAATTCAAATACTCCCCTTTGAAATTAATCGCTGAATTGCCTATTGAAGAGTAAAGTCAGTAGAATATGCTGATTATTAATGATAGAGACATTCTCGCTGATCCAAATAGATACTTATTAATTAATCCTCATGATAAAGAATCTAAATCAACTAGAGATTTTGTAATGTCAACCAGGAAAATGCTTTTTACCAAAATATCAATTTAAGATAAAGAGGAAGAATTATTTAATATTAAGGAATCATTAGTATAGGACTAAGAAAAGTTGCTAGAGGCATAAAAATCATTAAGAGAAGACACAAATAAATTCAAGAATTATCAAGATGAGGTTGAAAAGTAATTAGAAATTAGTGAGCAGAAGATGAAAGATACATTGGATGAGAAGAAAATTTATGACGAAGAAATTGAGAGATATTAAGATATGATTTAAGATATAGACATCTAAATAAGACAAACTGAGAATGAAATATCCCCTTATAAAAAATAAAAAAGATTCATATTTTCACTTGCAGAAGATTTCCTATATAAGAAGGAATGAAATCTAGAGAAATATCAGAAAAAGAAAACGATGCTAAGATTAAAGGACTAAAAGCAAAATAGTGAAATAGATGATACACAGTTTACTGGGAGTATGTTTATTACTTAGAAAAGCTAATTAACTTTGCTTAAAAATAAGTATTAAAAGATGAATTCATCTGCATTCAATGATTTCGATTACTAGGATGACGATGCTTTTGAAACTTACAAGGAGGATCAAATAGATTATTTAGAAAGACATGAGGATGATTTTGAAATACCTTTTAGTAAATACCAAATATACTAGTTTATGGATGAGATAGAAGAATCTAACTTATTTCTTATGAAATTACTTGAGGAAGAAGATCAATACCAGGAGAGTCACAAAGATAATACTCTATTTGAAATAAAGTAGACTAAGCTCAAACTCTAAGATGCCTTTGAACAAATAAAACTAAAAGAGAGATAAATTTAAGAGGGCAAAGATAAGTAATAGAGCTATGAAAAAACTAAAATATATCTATAGCAAAGTTAAGGAGATAGCTTTTATGGAATCATGGATACCTAGAAATTTGCTAAGTTAGTTTTATTACTGAGAGACATGCATTTAAGACTGCATAACTATGAATTTGAGCCTGATTCTAATGAATCTAAGCATCAGTTAATTGAGTCAAATACCATCAGACCATAATTACTCCTTAAACAAGTTGAAAACAAACTAATGTATCTAAGTGAGGCATATGATCACGTTTCATCTCTTGCTGATAAATCTTCAGCTTTGAAAAGATAAATGAATGAAAAGCTAAGACTTAATGACATTGAGAAGAGACATAAAAAGTAAGAAGACATCAAGTAAAGAGAAAAATAAGATCGATAAATTAGATACGAGAAAAATATAGAGCGCATGAAATAGAGTGAAAAAAATAAACTTAACAAAGATGTAAAAACTCAAAAAGCGAGATCCAAAAAGCCAATCAAAATAAAATATTTGCGCTAAGTTGAGCCAACTCAAGAAGAAATTGATTATTAGAAGTATGTAGAAAATATATGATTAAATTTAGATTGAGCTTATTTATTTAAACATTGATTTCATTATTATACATATCTTCACATAACTCTTGGAAGTAGAGCATCCAATACACCAGTATAATGACCAAACCCAAGTCTGTTTAAGGATTCTATTAAGTCTTAGCCTTTCAAAGCAACTCTTCTTTCCTTCTACACCTCCTCTGCCATATCAGCTGTCACAAAGCAAATAAACTCTGTTAGAATTTCTTGCATCACTTCAAGTGCTTGAGCATCAATTCTTGGTTCACTGTCATACTTATCTATGCGAATGTTGTTTATCATTATTTTCTCAATTTTAGTGTGAGGAATTAGCTGGTCCTTTCTGTCGAAACAATCCATAGAAATTTAGATTTAAAATTATATTTAACTACTCACCTTTAAACGATAACATATTTTATTTATAAGGGGTTTTGGGGTTTTGGGGTTTTGGGG